TGAACGTGTCGATAACATTTCAGTTGGGTAATTCGGATATCCTCTGTTATTTTGTGTTTAACGCCCATAATTTCGGTCCGTCTATGTCCATATTGAATCTAGCAGATTTTTCACTTATCTTTTTGTGGATAGTTGTTAAACACGATATTTTCCATTCTCCATTAACGCGCTTCTCGTTGAGGCTGTGACGTATTTAGGCAGTTCTGGAAGGATGTTACCTGAGCCTAGTGATATCTTATTTTTGCAGTGCTTCGCATACTGCTTTGACTACTTCTTTGCCACTGAGCCTGAGTGTAGATGCTATAGTACGTATTTCTTTATCGGGTTTCGGTTGTAGTGACTGTTGACATTCTGCACTTTCTTCAGTCAGCAGTTTTGTGAAAAACTGTGCAAGGTGATATCTTTGTTTTCCTGGCGGAGGGATCTAAATATTTTCCAGCTCTTATGGTGCTCCAGCTTACTCCTATCTATTCTATTTTTTGGTTGATATGTCTGTTTATCTTTTAATACTTATCATGTCGATTAATTCATCCTTCCCAGCAGTGGCGTGCAGACCCATCCCTGCAGACGCGGGCCCCGGCCATCAAGGGGGCCTTGACGGGTCAATAAAACAGAACAAAATAAACTCAATACGCAAAATCAAAGTAGTAAATAGGTATTTTTGTTTATACTCATCTAATATATTAGATTATGGGTACTTAGGCATTTTTAAAATGAAATCTAAATCATTCAGAATCAGAACTTCTCAAATCAACTCAAATCCAACATTCATTTGCATTTGTCGTAACAATTACAGTAAAATGCAGAAAAAAAATCGACTACTTTGGTAAAACCTTACTTAAATAGAAATCAAAGTATTTTGTGCGTTTTGAATATTTCGGTCACTTTAAACAGATAGGGGCCCCATGAACAATTTCTGCAGGGGCGCCCCCAGAAAAATGTTGCACGCTACTGCTTTCCAGTATGGTTCTCTTCGCCTCGGCTTTTCGTACACCCCCAGAACTTCTTCTGTGGTAGTTTTCAGGCAATTTACAATGAAATTGTACTGGTGTTCTGTACTATCAATTCAAAGATGTCTTGTATCAGTTTTTCATCGAGTCGAGTTTTTTACAATCCTTGTATGGTTTCGGGGTTGAATTTATCTTAATTGTATTTCATTTCGGTAGTTCTTTGTTCTCGAATTATGTCTTATTTTCTCTTGGCTGGTCTAAAGACCCTCAACAAGATGGTGATCGCTTCCACATGTCGCTCCTCTATACGCTCGCACATATTGAATTTTTAGCTTTACTTCTTGTCGGTCTATCATTTCAGACCTTTTTTCAAAATTTTATACGAGTGTTGTTCAAAAAACTCTCTTCCATGGGCATCGTCATCTAGAATGTATACTTCTATAATAGTGAAGCAAAAATACTATTATAGGTATCAAGTATGCAAAAATCAATTAAGTTTTTTTCCTAGAATGGGAAACACCTTCCTATAGACTTTGCAAATGAGTATATCCTCTCCTTGTTATGCTCTTTTGGTTTTACCGAGAAAAAAAATAGTCAGTTGTCCTAGGTTTTCTGACCCTTGACTTTTTTGGTCGCGGTTGGTACTTCAATATCCATGCTCGCTTTCTTTGTTTCAGAAATCACGACATTCCACAAGAGACCTTGAACGTTCCAAGCACTAATATCAATTCTCCGTTGCCTTCGCTTGGATCGTCTTTATCGGTTCCGAGGCTAATTATTCGGAGTTTACCCTTTTTATTGTTGGATGAGTATCGAGTGATTAGCCTGATGCTGGGCCAGCTGATTCTTGGTTTTTCAATGTGGCCTAAACTTCTTCCTCTCCCCCTTCCTCATCTTTTGAGCAATGAGGCCCCGGACTTCAGACTGGTTCGACTGATAGTGTTAAGCTGTAACAAACTGATCTATTATCGTATTGTAGAAATAATACCTTCTAAATCCCGTATATTAACTAGGTAGGTATTATAGTCGGGGGGCCGAGGCCCTTTTTTCCAAATCATTAATAACAAGCTAGTTTTTTCAATGCAGCTTCATTTCACCGAGACGCCCAACTTTTTTCTCACGAAAATTGCGAAAACAGGTAGCTAACATACTGCGCAGGTGTAAAACATGTCGATTTGGTGATTATGAAAATTTAATTAATAACAGTTAGATTTTTAGCCAAATCTTGAGATAATTTTATGAATAATTTGAAACAATATTTGTCCGACAAAATAAAGGGTTTGGTCTATGATGTCCCCCCCTTCAAACATGTAGCAATTACGTTACATAAAAAATGATTAATACCCAGTTGATTTTTTTACTGTAGCTTAGTAAATATTACTACAATTGAATGGTCACACTGTCCTACAAATAAAGAGGTAACTTTTTCCAGTCCTACATTCAAAAGTTGTCGACTTCACGGTAATATTTTTCTCATTAATAACTGTACGCCACAAAAGCCACATGATAGATTAACATATTTTCCACGGAAATTAATCAATGTCCTACAAAAAAGTAGGTAGTTATCGCTAGTCCGACAAAAAGTATGTGACCGACGTAACCGTTGAAGAACGTATTCGATGAGAAGTTATATTAAAATGAAGTATAGGCTTTATAATCATATGTAATGTTGACTACATTAGTGTGTTCTTTGTCCCTGTTTGTTGCGATTTTCGCATTAAAAATGGTTATTCATGATTGAATATGTATACTTGAAATTTTATAAAGCTAACTTGAATCGAATATTGTATATTAATCCAATGTGTCCAAAATAAGGAAGGCCAGTATGGGGATCTGAGAAACAGTAAGAGATACGACGTTGCTTAAACTAGAAAAAAGTTGCGCAATTTTATGCTCATTAAAATGGCGCTTTGATGTTTTATAAGTTCCGAGTACTACCGGAGATATCCGGAATAAACCGAAATTCGCCCAAAATGATTTCGTTTTTTCCTGACCTTATTTAAAGAGTTATTTCAAAATAAATGGCACTCCATTGTTGCCACTTTTCCTCCTCTACAAGATGCCGCCATCAAATTTAAAATCTGACGTTTCGTCTTTGGGCCACCATCATCGACTTTATTTTTTCAAATACGACCCTGGATTTTTTATTCCAGATTTTGAGAGCTTCTGATGTCCAGAAACCTATGACGTATCGCATTTATTCGATAAAATATTTTTTTTACCTTTCAGTAATTTCCTATTAAAATTCTCTTCTCTGTCTCTCTCTAACACATCTAGTTCTTATGGAAAGTACCAATACTATAATTTTTTCGAATAAGTGCAATACGTCATTGGTTTTGAGACATCGGAAGCCAATAAAATCTAAAACAAAAAATAAGGGTCCGTTTTTAAAAAAATAAAGTTGATGATAGGGGTCCGAAGACGAAACGTCAGATTTTAAATTTGATGGTGGCATCTTATAGAGGAGAAAAAGTGGCAACAACTGCCATTTATTTTGAAATATCTGTTCAAAGAGGGTGAGGAAAAAATGAAATCATTTTGGGCGAATTTCGGTTTTTTCCAGATATCTCAATGGTCTCAAAATTGCGCAATGTATAATGAACATAATACAGACAATTATTCTTATTTTATTTTCTTTATTTGGAGCTTGGAACAAATATGGTTATTGAAAAATATTGTTTTTATTTTAAGGAACTAATTTTTTATGAGTTTTTTTTTAAATAAATATTTACTAAGCTACATTGAAAAAATCAACTGGTTATTAATCATTTTTTATGTAACGTATCTACTACATGTTTGAGAAGGGGGACAGCCTAGATCAAACCATTTATTTTGTCGGACAAATGTTGTTTCATATTATTTATGAAACTATCTCAGCATTTAGCTACAAAATTAACTGTTATTATTCACATTTGTATGATCACCAAATAGACATGTTTTTCACCTGCGCACTCTGTTAGCTACCTGTTTTTAGAATTTTCGCAAAAGAAAATTTGGGCGTCTTATCAAAATGGAGATGCTCACGAAGATTTAGCCGTTTATTAATGAAAAAAGTTAAATCGTGAAATCGACAACTTTTGAGTGTAGGACTGAAAATAGTTACCTGTTTATTTGTAGGACATTGTGATCATTTAATTCTAATAATATTTACCAACCTTCATTGAAAAAATCAACTTGTTATTAATAATTTTTTATGCAACGTAATTGCTACATGTTTGAGTGGGGGGACATCGTAGAACAAACCCTTAATTTTGTCGGACAAATGTTGTTTCAAATTATTCATAAAATTATCTCAACATTTAGCTAAAAAACTAACTGTTATTAATTAAATTTTCATAATCACCATATCGACATGTTTCACACCTGCGCAGTATGTTAGCTACCTGTTTTCGCAATTTTCGTGAGAAAAAAGTTGGGCTTATCGGTGAAATGAAGCTGCATTGAAAAAACTAGCTTGTTATTAATGATTTGGAAAAAAGGGCCTCGGCCCCCGGACTATTAGCTGACCTTCGATGTGATGCTATATAGTGCTGACCATCTTGCATAATAACAGAGTGAATGTAATCGTTGATTACTTGTTCGGGATTTGAAATGAAAACGACGCACAAGGCGACTGGATTATAAATGCATCAAGTCGTCGTGCCAAAAAGCGAAGAAATAAAACTGGCGAGTTTTAACTACGTGAGAATAGGATGAATAATTAGGACTAGGACATGTGTTGTTTCCAGGAATGCAATTTTCATGATCTTTTTTTGGGGGTAAATTGGATCACACATTCCTTTCCCAGTACTTGAAGTTTAAACAGCTTGGTTCCAAAAAAATGGCAAATATGCCATCGTACCAGTCTTAGGCGCTTTAATTAAATTCAAGTGAAATATTTTAAACAAATTGGTTCCCGAACACTGATATTTCATGCCAGGCTGACTTTAGGTATAGGTATACCTGTTAATCTTCGAAACTTTGAAGCTCAATATGACATTCAAGTACCAATATTTATTTGTTACAACGTATTCGAAAATAAATATTTAAGAATATTTTTTATTTTTCTAGGTAGAGCAAATATCTCAATTAGCAACATTCGCGGAAGGTTTATTGGATTATCACAGTCAGTGCACAGATGTTCTAAAAACCCTCACAGAAACACTACAAGAAAAGTAAGTAAACATTAGTTTCATACATTTTAAACTGACATATTAGGCTGTTAATATTGCCAGTTAAACGGAAACCGCTAAAACTGACACGTCTTCCATTATCCCTCAACGATTTTTTTCAATAATGTCTGAAATTTAACAATGGATTGCGATTTTACCGATTATTTAGTGGAAATGTTGGGGAAATACAGGGTGTTCCTAAATATCATGTACAAACGAAAGGGGCACAAAAGGGGACATGACCCTTGAAAAAACATCACCTTGTAGATTCTGGCAAACGTTTGACATGTGCAATCATTTAGCTCCTATTGCGTAACCTATGTTCCAAATTTGAGCTAAATCCCTCAAAAATTGCAGGAGCTATCAAGTAAAAACTGAAAAAATATTAAAATTTCAACAGCCTGCAGATCGGTAATTAAGCGTTTGCGGACCTATGTTTATTAGAAATTTTAGTCATAAAATTAACCAAAGAATCACCTCCTTCCGTTTGTACACGATATTTAGGAACACCCTGTATATTTCATCTTCCTGTGAATTACATGGAATTACTTGGAACAATGTCGATCAACAACAATTCGACAATTTTACTTATGGATTCTCATGAAAATGGAGGAGCTTGTATGGATTCCCACACCCAACAATTAATTTGTAGCATTTCAGATCATAAAGTGCTAAAGGAAATAAATTGTTTTGCAGAAAATGTTGACGCTATTACTTTCTGATTATTGACTATACCTATCTCTAGTGATTTTCGACCTAATAACTAATTTCTTTATGTTTTCTTCAAAAAATAGCTCTAGTTAAATTTGTATTGCTACCTCACTGAGATTCGTAGGAAGATTAATAGCAAACATTTCAAAGTGCGTCATTTTTATTGAATAAAAAGGTGGTTGCGGTTGCCTTGCAAAATAGCTACACAGTGGACTTGGATGTAATATGATCATCAATGATATTTTCTATAATTTTTTTGGATAATCTTACACAGTTTTGTTACTTTTAATTGTGTCTTCTCAATTTATCAAAACAAAAGAACCTAACACCACTTCCTTGCCCAATCATAGAAAAAAGCTCCACCAGTTTCTATCCACAATTAGCAACTTTCAACTCTTTTTTTCAATCCTAGGTCTTAATTAATAGGTCTTGGTTGTTTATATAATTCATCTATTTAACTTAGACGCCTAGGCCGAGCTGAATAAATGCATTGTTTACCACTATTGGTATATCCGAAAGTGTAAAAGCTGCAAGGTCGGTTAAATTAGAAAAAAATTGCCCTTTTTGATGCTCATTTAAGACTCGTTGACAGTGTTGCCAAATTCCTTTTAGTTTATGAAATACAGGGTGATTTCTTAGAAACGCCTAAAAATATTTCATCAGTTATTTCGAAAACTAGGTAATGATTTTCGAGACACAAAGTTCTATTGCGAATATTTCCGCTTGAAATATGGTTGGAATTTCTCCTTCGGCTGTTGCTCTTTTTCGATCAGCCTGTATACCAGGCAGATGACCCGCTCGGGAATACAAGTACGATATTTTCTCCCTTGCGACCCTCAATAGTCACTTCATTCGTACCTGTGTTGCATGTGGACAACTGGTTTTGTCTTCACATTTATGCATTCCTTCATAATGCTCATATGGCCGACAAAGTCCCATTCCTTAAGTTTTAGGGAGTGTATTAGTCTCGAGGCTCCCATGTAGGCCTCTTTCCTCACTATTATATCTATTGCGGAGAAGCCCAACATGACTTCCATTGCGGCGGTTGGACAGGTGTTCATTGCTCCAGTAATTCCAAGACATGCATAGACTACAGTTGCCAATCGGTTTTGCGCTGTCTGTTCTTGTACTTTTGGCCACCATACTATTGCAGCGTAAGTGATCATGGGTCTTATAACAATTGTGGATAACCAATAGATCATTTTTGGCTTTAGACCCCAAGTCTTGCTGAATAATCTCTGGCATGTTCAGTATGTGGCTATTGCCCAGTCGGTTACTCTTTTAAGATGTTGGTTCCAATTAAGTTTCTGATCCAAGATGACTCCCAGATATTTAACCTCACTTGTGAAGCTGATTTGTATCCCATTTCAGGTTCGGGCTGTTAGATTTAGCCTCATTTTCCTTGTAGAAGGTACAATTATGGTTTTGTTGGGGTTGACGCTTAAACCCTTCTGTAGACACCATCTAATAATGACATTTAGGGCATTTTGCATAAGGGCACTAATGATCCTGTCATGCTTACACCTAATGATGAGTGTGAGGTCGTCAGAATATCCTAGGACCGTGATCCCTTGGGCGCATAGCGCGACGAGAAGTTCATCTACTACCAGTGACCACAGCAGAGGGCATCCCTTGACTGCTGAGACCGTTGCAGAGTCACTTCTAATAGTTGATTTGATTTTCCTATTCTCAAGCATGACTTCAATCCTTGAAATTGTAGTTTCGTCAAAGCCCTTATTTCTAGCCGCTCTTCCTATGGAGTCATGTGATGTGTTATCGAAACCTCCCTCTATATCAATGAATGCGCATAGAGCGGTTTCTTGACTTGAGTGTGCCCTTTCAATCTTATTGACAAGAAGACTGTGTAGGGCTGTCTCAGTTGATTTACCTGGCTGACAGGCAAATTGATTCTTTTGGAGCGGGCTTTCCATTAGGAATTCACTCGTGTGTAGATCTATGATTTTCTCAATAGTTTTTAGAAGAAACGAGGTTAGCTTAATTGGTCTGAATGATTTAGGCTGTGCTGTAGGGCGCCTATCAGCCTTTGGAAGGAAGACCACATTCACATCTCGCCAACTAGTGGGAATGTGGCCTAATTTGTAGCTAGATAATAGGGCACAATCCTATTTAAATGAAAACCGATAAAAAATTATGTATGTGCTTTTAGAGTAGACAACGCCAACTTTATGATTTTCACATCCATCGACTTCCCGTTCTAGAACCAATTTTGTGAACCTAGCTAGTTTGCAAAAGAACCTGAACTCGGGTGCCTACACATCTAGCTAGCAAACCAACCATATCTCCAAGACTAGTTTCAGTCATCTGTCATTTTGGGTTTTAAATAAAAGGAAGAGAACAACGGGATTGCACCAAAAATCGTTCAGTTAAAATAAAAACTGTACTGTATGCGACGAAACTAGCTATTGCCCCTTTTTGAGCTATCAGTATTACTAAACCACACCAGGGACGCCAAAAAGTTTTTACTTGAGCTGATTGTAAACTAACCAATAGATCCTATCTCTGTTTTTTTTCCTTGGATTCTCATTCATACTAGAAAAACTCTAATAATAAATTAATGAATATTGTAAAAAAGTATAGTACATATTAAAATAACTAGAACTACCTTTTTTTGGATGGTTTAGGAAATCTGCTCATCTGACTATCCCCGCCTGATGTTCTGGCGGCGGAGGGTGTGTCGCGTTTGACCGACTAAAATCCTTTTCCCTCATTTTTCTCAACGGCACCGTTTAGAACTACTTTCGCATTGCTTCAAACTGGCGTCGCGTCGTCGGCTAGTCTCTCTTCTTCTTTCCTCTTCCTTTCACGTGTATTCCGGGGTTTTCTCCGCCTCCTTTTCGTCTTCAATCTTGTTTTTCATGATGGCCTCAATCGTGCAGTAGATGTCTTTCCACTTTGCTTGGCTGCTGGTCATTTCTTCCATGATGTTCTCTGGGGTTAGAATCCTATCCACTAACCTGTAGCATTTAGTCCTTTCCTCGTTCCACCGTTTGCACTCGAAAAAGGTATCTTCTGCTGTGTCGCATTCGCCACACTACAAGCACTCGTTATCTGTTGTCTTTCCGATGTCGTAGGTGTAGTCTCTAAAGCAACCATGCCCCGTCAGAAATTGTGTTATGAAGTAATTTGTTTCGTCGTGCCCCCTGTTTGTCTACGTGTTTATATTGGGAATAATTCTGGCTGTCCGCCTTCCCTTCCTGCTATCCATCCACCGTGTCTGCCACTTCTGCATTAGGGTGTCCCTTGCCTCTTGCCTCTCTGCGGACAGTGTTTCTCACCCTTCCGTTTGCCTCCGCGATGTTGGTAGCCTCTTCTGTAAGAAGGTCTATCGGTGGTAACTCCGCTATAACTAGCAGGACGTCTGTGGAGGCGGTTCTATAGGCGCACGTAATCCTTATCGCGGCTTGTCTTTACACTCTTTCGTAGATGTCCTGGTTGCTCTTTTTGTTTAGCGCCGCCCCCCAGACTGGGGCTGCGTACAGTAATATGAATCTGCTCACTGAACATAGCAGGCGTCTTTTACTAGAATTAGAACTACCTAAATATCCCCCACGTGACCCAAATGACATATTCAAGATGGCGTGGAGGCCAAACAGGACAGTGTCATTATGCAGAGCCAGTATTTGTGAGAACTTTTAAGGAATTCTCCTCTGATGTTTGTCAGTGTGTGATCTATAAAATTATATTGAAATATGTAATTTAAATTCAAAAGTGTATTTTAGTATTGGAAACGGCAGGTACTTGTCTATAAATAATGCTTACACTCTCTTATTTCCTCTGCCAAGATATCAAAGTGGTGACATTTTGTTTTGCTATAAATTCATTAGGGATGTAATTTTTATTTTTTTTTTGTATTTCCTAAGTACCTTACCCAATATTGGGGTGTGGATTCATATATTTTGAAAGGTACCGAGTTGGATTATTCTTTGGTTAGTGTTCCACCAGTAATATATTCAGACATTGCTGCTTACTTGGTGTTTGGGTTAGTTTTTTGACAGATGGTCCGGAACCAAGGATATTACAACTAGAGGATTGCTCATCGGCCTCGATTTTTAGAATCAAGATCATATGGTGTTGCAGCGTTGCCGACGTTATCAGCGATGTCGTCAGCTGTTTGCGCCAGCGGTCGTAGTTTGGTATACATTTATGACGAAAAATATTATTCAATTTTGACCAACATAATAGTCGTAGCGGTACATAAAAAAAAAAACGTCTCAAATCGTGATAGAAGCAAACCGCTTGGCAGAAAGTTTACTTACATATAATAGTTAAATTTGGCCCGCAGCACCTTATCAGAGCTGCGTGTGCCGCTCCAGCGTGCGAAAAACGGTTGGCTTTACGCGTTCAAAATCGGCCGCGGAAAAGTAACTATTGGAGGTGCTTTGAACTGAGTCTAGAAATGGTTATACGAATTTTTTAGGAATTTTTACGAAAATTCAAAAATAAGCATTAAACTATCCAAGGTGCTGTCAACCTAAGTTAAAATGTCCGCCAAGAGGCACACAAACCATTTGTTTATGTGTTATCAAATGGTGTTATGATTTTCAAATAGTGCTAATTGTGAATTATTTGCGTTGTTATACTTAAACTAAAACTTTTGTTTTTATTAATGTTAGAAATAGTGTATGTAAATAGTAGTTTGTGCTTCTCCTGCCGGCCATATTTTGCTTGTCAAAGTCACGTGTTTTGGATAGGCTACTTAGGCCCAGTTGTACAATCTTGATTCAAAGCAGAGTTCAGCTAAACTCGACTGGTACTTGAACTTCCCCATTTGAAATGCATTGCTGTCAAAATTGATAGAATTTAATTAATAGCTGCGTAGAATTTAATTAATAGCAATGTATTTGGAATGGGAAAGCTCAAGTGCCAGTCGAGTTCAGTTGAACTTTGTTTTGAACCGAGATTGTACAACTGGGCCTTAATAAACCAGGGACAAATTTATAGGTTAATTTTGATGGCAAGTGTTATGAGAATTGAGAAACGGTATTTGGCGTTCCAGCAAATTCATACCAGATTTGGCATCGCCGGAAGAAGGGGAAAAGTAGCGGGTTCAAAGTTGATTATTTTTCTAGTTTTTTGCCTATATTTTTGATCTTGGCCAATGGAGAGTCGTCAATCTCCATTTTCTATGTAAAAAACATGCTTTTACAAAGCCAAATTGCCAAACTCTGTCATTCTTCTGGAAACCTGCAGTTTACGTTAAGACCATGTCTCGTTTCCATTTGGTCGCTTCCGAATAAATCTGCCTTTTCTCTACTTATTCCATGAATGTCAAGGAACATTTTCCGCAAATCGTCAGCTTAGTCTTGGACTTAAAGTCACTGGATCTATCGTTGATGCTTGGTAGGTAGCGACAAGTCGATGTCACAATTTTTAAAAACGAGTCAATAGTCTAATTTGATTCTATCAGAAAAGTCAAAAGAAAAAGAAAATCTCCTACGAGCATGGCTCACTGGCCCTAGACTTGATAATAATAATTGTGATTTTGCTTCAAGACAACTTGTCATTTACTAGTTGCGCAAATTTTATTTTTATCGAATCGATTTCACTGGATGGAAAGATAGTATTCACTTACCTACTAATTTACATAAAATTTCATGATATAAGAGCTTTTTTTGGCATTCCAAAATTTTAGCATTTGAAACTACATATTAAAATTTTTAAATGCTGACAATAAGTGGCTACACTGTTAAGTTGCCACATGGGACGTGTTAAAAATGAAGTGCGTGTTTTTATTGAGAGGGTTTTTTCTGTCTTCGAAATAGATGTCGTTTTCAAACATAAATTCTTGAACAAGATTTGGTTTGGTTTGCTAAACGCTATTATTCTTGGAATGGGGTTTTCTTTAAACCTGCGTCGTACACTTTTCTCGAAGGACATCCGTGTCACTGCCATCCAAGTATCATGAGACAAATACCGGGCGTTACCTAATTCCTATTTTTTCTAGTCAATTACCAATGATCAAAGTGATATAAGTAAAAGTGATACCGTTTTTTTGAAACCTATATAGCTGACTTCTTTCTGAACGTAACTGATAGAAGTGATCACACAAATTTTCAGTTCAGTTGGATCAACTTTATTTTTGGGAACGGATATTGGCAACTATAGAGGAAAAAGATTATCAATATTCGTTAATGATTGAATTCAGTTTTTGAAAAAATAAGAAATAAAAAAATAATGCGATTCTTCGAAAAAGAAAAACACAAGAATCTATTTTATAAATAGCATACTTAGCGCCATTGGCGCATGCGAGCAATCTCTGACCTGTTCTTATTTTTTTTTTTAAAACACCGACGTTCAAGTGTGTATGATTTATACGAATTAACAACCTATTTTGCGACATCTACTTGAGCATGAGCCGTATCAATTATTGCTATTGCATCCACTCATTCAATACAGGGAATTTATATTTGTTGGAGTGGTAAAATGTAAACAATAGGTATTGGAAAAGAGGCAATTCAGGGAGTTTATGAGATCAGTTTTTCTTAAGGTCCTAATGGCGTTCCCGCAACAAATTCCATTTTTTCAATTTCTCAATAACTCCGTTTTACAAAATGTATCATTTTATTTTTATTTTTTCAGGCGAGAAGAAGCAGCAAGTCGTCCAAAAGTGGAGTTCGTACCTAAAACACTATCGGATTTGAACATTGAAGGAGTCACTGGTATTGCCGACGGATATAACGGTACTAGTTCGCTCCATTTTAATGAGTTTAATAATCACAATGCCGGTAATCCTTATAATCAAAATTTTAAGAACCCGCCCAGCAATGGGGCCCATCAATTTCGAAGGCCTGCACCTAAAACGGTGCTCATAAAACAAATGCCACCACCCGATCCTTTCGACTCCTGGATTTTTCCCCAAGGTATTTTTTGTTTGTTTATTTTTATTTTATTTAATTTAATTTTTTTCTGTTCATTTAATTTCTGTAAATTATTTATTTATGTATTTCTTACCTAATTTTAAGTTTTCTCAACTGAGGCATGCTGCTAAAAGGTGATAAAGAATTTATCTTTGTCAAGCAAAATTTATTGCCAACGCGTCAGAATGATTTGTTGACCCGTTCGATTGTACCGACTGTTAATAAAAATGTTCACTTACGTTCCTTGTCGTTAAAGTAAGTGGGTATTGCACAGCAATCTGCTCGTTAACTTATAGTTATTTACACATTCGTAGTACGTGTTATTGGGTTTTGATGAAACGGTTACTTACTTGTGAAAATAACAAATTCGATGTTTTTAACTTTCTTTTTCTTGTTCCGAAACATGGTAACGGACGGTCATTACGCGACATAATTATTAGGGCATAAGTTCAATTTCCAATTTTTGGGATGCGGATTTCGAAAGTTCTTTTGGTCTAATAGATTACTTGGAGAAAAATTATTTTCCAGGAGGAATGTCATTTTCATGTAAACCAGAGTCATAAATTGAGTACCTAATGCAATAATGGACAAAATTTGGTTCCATGTCTTTTCGATAAGTGTCAAATTCTTGGGAACCCGTTTTTTAAAAATGGTTTTGCTTGACAATGGTTGGACTGATTTCCACCAGCATTGGCTGATTTTGAGAGCTTATTTTCCACGACCTAATAGCTTTTCTTGCTGATGGCCATTGAAACATTTTACAGGAGTCGAGAAAATCGTGAACCTGAAATTCCGCAAATGATGTTTTTTTTTCAAAGCTTTGTTACGCTGTATGCTTTTATTTTCTTCTACAATTGGCTAATTGAAACTTTGGGTCATTATATTAGGACAGCTTTTTTTCTGTTCTGACTGCGCCGCAAATTTCATGCTGAATTTCAAAAACTGAACATTTGACCCTAGAAAGTATAAATGCACGACCATGGCTTGAATTTATTTCCTTATATGGTACCATAATACATGATACTGATACCTTTCTACTTTTTCATGACGCGGTTTTTTTGGTTAGTCAAGTTTGACCCCCGTGCCGCTCAGATTTTAGAACAATAACATTTTGCAGGCCCCACCTCGTATGAATGCAAAAACATTTCAAATCCTGTCATGTCTGTTATATTTTACACAATTTTGCATACTAATTTACAAATACTGCACAAGTTCAGGTATTAGTCGGGGCGGTTAGTCGAATAATCTTGCAAGTTGTGATAAAAGCATGAAATTTGGTACAGATGTTTTTTTTACAATTATAAGCGATTTGACCCCCTTGTCGGACCCATAGGAGCAAGATGGCGACCATTTGCAAAATGGCGGCTATCAAGAGGTTAAAATTGGTAATTGTGAATCGATTTCAGCAAAATTGGTGTCGTTTTCGAATAATTTATGATCGGAAAATATTAGAAAATATATAATTAAGTGAATTTGAATAATACAGGGTGTCCTAGCCGAGAGTGACCCATTTCAAATGCTCATAACTTTTAAACCAAGTATGCTAGCCAGCTGCGGTTTGCTTCATTCGACTTCTCTTGGCCTATAGTTTTTTTTTTCTGGTTGGTTGCTCATTTTTTCAGATATTTATACCGGGCCAGTAAAGAAAATGCAGTTTTTCAACATCGAAATTCTCCACTATTTTCAATGGAGAACCCTGTATATTACAATGTCAAAAAAACTAGTCATATTCAAGGTATCCATGTACCAATAAACATCGTCCTCGTCCTTGAAACTTAAAGTTTCAGCAGTAAAAAATTTAAATTGAAATCCTGGGTATTTTTGCAAACGCATTTTTTATTAGCATATTCACAAAGCTTCGAAATTGTCTTTGTCTGATGAAAAAGTAATAATCTGGATAAAACTGTAAAAAGATATTTATATGTTGGCCATTTTGCTCAACGCATTTATGGAATGGAGTCGGATCAGTAAATGGTTGAAGGAATTATGTAAAATTTTCTGAGGAATTGTTTCAATGACATTACGAATGTTCCGCTTAAGATATTCCTGCTATTTGGCAAAGGATTATACTCTCCTTGATATAACCCCAGAGAAAAAAGTCTGGAACTTTCAAGTCAGGAGAGTAAGGTGCCATTCTAAAGAACCAGCTCTTCTTATATCCATCTTTCCCCAAATATCATATCTGTAGTGATTCTCTTGATAATAAAGAATAATGAATAATGAGGTGGGGCATCATCCTGCTGAGAATAGATCTCATATAAGATACACTCCAACATATAGTCGCATGCGTTTGCAAAAATAAGTACCAGGATTTCGATTTTAATTTTTTACGGCTAAAACTTTAAGCTTCAAGGACGATGTTTATTAGTTCATTGGTGCATGGGTACCTTGATTACACGATTCTTATTTTGACGTTGTGATATTGTGATATACAGAGTAGGGTGTCGTATTACAAATAGCGGAGAATTTCCATGTTGAAAAACAGCAGTTTTTTTACTGGCCCTGTACAAGTATCAGAAAAATTTGCAACTAACTAAAAAAAACATTAGGCCAAGTGCAAACCGCAGGTAGCCGGCACACCTGGTTTGTAAATTATAAGGATTTGAAATGGTTCACTCTCGGCTGGGACACCCTGTATAATCGAATTTCAAATTTTTATGACCTCTGTTTAGAAATGTTATCAACAGAATGTATTTTTACACCTAAATTACTACGTACCTATAATGTACCGAGTGATCGGCGGCGGGAAGAGGGTTGGTGTGCAAGGGGGTAGGGGTGCAGGAAGGATGTGGAATTTAGCGAACTAAAAATTAATCATCTATAGAATAATTTAAAAAAAAAAAATCTAATGAAATACCTAGTTATTTTCCTAACAAGTGCGGAAAGTATCATTTTTCCGGAAATATTAGGAAGACAATTTTTCCTACGAGCAGACAATAAAAAATACAAAAATAAAAAAATATATAAATCTATATTAGGCAATTAAGTAACAACCTTTTTTATGTTATGTTTAACTGTTTTAATGGTGAATGTTTAATTTTCAGCAAATTGTAAATTTATCGCTGATGCATATCGTAGGTCAACACGACGCGACGACGTGCGAAAAAAAAAAATCCACACTAGTGCGGAAAAATTACTCTTTCCGCAGGCCAATCAATGGGTGCGGAAAAAGAGCTTTTTCCGCATGCTTTTATGAGCATGCGGAAAAAAGTTTTTGATACCTACATTTTGTTTGTTTTACATAGTTTGAATATAACTATAGTTAATTCCTCAAAAAAATTAAAAGAATAATCCTGTCTGAGAAGATTATATTGTAATAAAAAAAACATGTTCTGTTGTATTTTTTGATTCAAAATTATTCGAAAACGATCCTAATTTTGATAAAATCGATCCACAATTAAAAATTATAATTTCTTGGTTCGCCATTTTGCGAATGGGCGCCACCTTGCTACTTTACTGGCCCGGTATAAGTATCAAAAAAATGAGCAACTAACGAAAAAAAACTATAGGCCAAGAGAAGTCGAATGGCGCAAACCGCAGGTGGCTAACATACTTGGTTCAAAAGTTATGAGCATTTGAAATGGGTCACTCTCGGCTGGGACACCATGTATTATTCAAATTTTAATCACTTAATTATATATTTTCTTACATTTTCCGATCATAAATTATTCAAAAACGACCCCAATTTTGCTGAAATTGATTCACAATTACCAATTTTAACCTCTTGGTAGCCGCCATTTTGCAAATGGTCGCCATCTTGCTCCTATGGGTCCGACAAGGGGGTCATGCGGGTCAAATCGCTTATAATTGTAGAAAAATCATCTGTACGAAATTTCATGCTTTTATCACAATTTGCAAGATTCTGCCCATTTTTTTGATTAACCGCCCCGACTATATGGGGAAAGTTTTAGAATATAAAAAATTAATATTTCGCCCCCGTCCTCGACTTAATTTAATATTCTTTCAATCATTGTAGTCTACTGATTTTGCACAACTTTGCACACTTGTTCTTAAATTTTCCACTGCTTTGTGGATAAAGGAATAGGATATCAAACACTGAATAGTTCCTCCCCCTTCCCAAACTTTATACCTATTTCTCTTACTATTATATTCTAATAAAAATTTTGTACACTAAACCCCCATCCCCCCAAATATGCAAAATTGTACAAAATTGGGAACATTCAATAAAGGATATATAAGCTTGGTTAACCAAGGCGGCAAATATTTATTTCCTGATCCATAACTTTGTCCACAAAGCTGTGCAAAATTACAAAATTAGTTTGCGAAATTGTGCAAAATTAAAAGAACATATTGGTTTACGGAATAATACGTTTAATCAGAATATTCTCCATTTGGAAAACTCATAGTAGGTAAAGTTACGTCTTCATCACTGACGAAGAAGGCAAATTTCCTTTTCTCTAGGGCCCCTCCCATTTGAAGTGAGACAAAAGATCACGCGGTGGCTTCTTATTAGTTGGTTTTATCTATACAAGTGTGCAATTTACTGCATTTACCTCATACAATGAGGTTGTATCACTTCTAGACGCAGCTGAAATATGCAGTACGTGTGTTCGTGCTTTGTAGGACAATGGAGAGAAAATCGAGCTCTCCTTGATTGGACATTTCTAGCTATATACTGCTTTCGAAATTGTTAGTTCTCGCTAGTGCAACACAAGCGAGCCTACAAAGTCACAAAACCAGTTTGATATAAATTTTGGAGGAAACAAAAAAGGTTTCTAATTTTCGGAAAAGTTGAAACATTCTTCGTTTTCCTTTCATAATTCGTATTGGATTTCCATTAAGTATCGGCTAATTCAATCTCTCTTCCGATTGATATTGGTTAAGGTTCTCTGTGAGTGGTCCGATGTTGGCCCTTCTACTGCGACCTGCTGTCTATTGTGTCTCACTCCGAGTTTATGTTTTCCCCATCAGTTCAATCCTTCCGATGAAGGTGGAAATGAGCGTGGGGGAAGCATGCTTTATGTATTCGGGTCGAATAGCTG